TGAAGGGAAGAAGGAACAGGGAAAACTTCTGGTACCTTCCTTCCCTGTGATATGGGTCCAGGTGGAAGGTGGAGAGTTGAGAGGGTGTCCTATTTGTGTGTGTGTGTTGGTGTGTGTTCCCCCCGCCCAAAGAATGCAAAGTTATTCTAATTTAAAGGAGAGCTCTCATCAGTGGTGTGAAGGGTAGAAGAAAACTCTGTGAAACTTCATTTTAATTTCTGTTTTGGTGCCCTATCTCTGTCAGGGCTACTTAAAAACAAACAAGCAACAAAACAAACAATGAAATCCTTTTTGCTCTGACATAGACATTAAGCTCATTTTTGCCCTGGCTTAAAAGGCAAAAAGACTGATTCGGCATAAAATACTTTAAAGAAAGCAGTGGGTATTCTGACTTTGAAATATCTCTAAGTGAGTCTGAGCACAGAGTGCTGCAGAGGACGTGCTTGGTGAAAAATTGTTCATCTGAGGTTTTAGAGTCAGTTAGGAACATGTGCTGCTTTATATATTTACAAAGCTCAAAAGTCCTGTGTTTTCTTGATTGTATTTCAGGATGTGAAATATTGTACCTCATGTTGTCTTGATCACTGCTGTGTTTCAGTAAAATACTGTACCTTGCATTTCCCGTGCTGTGCTGGCTTGAATTGCGCAGAAGGAAATCTCATGCTCTGAATAACCTACAGCATATTGCCACGGAAGAAACACTGAAGTGCCCATAGGAATCCTGATAGTGTCCTTGCTAACATTGTTTGCAGAGGTCTTGTGGCAGCTCAAGGCAAGGGCAGGTGCGAGATTTTCACACTGCCTAAATAAAGGGCTCAAAAAAAAAAATAAAAAGCTCATGCGAGGAAGCTCTTGTTCTGAACTGTAATTTTGACATGCTTCTGCTAGTATGTTTGTATTGTTGTGGTGAAGGTGAAATTAGGTGTCTCCACTATAGTTCCTTTGCACACAAGTCTTTAAAGTATTCACACATGGACATACACTGGTTTATGCACGTGGCAGATTAACCAACCTTTTACTGCTTGGCCCACGGCTGTCGTACTTTTGGTTCAAAACTGGTGCCAAAGTTATTTAAGAATGTCAGTTGAGATGAAAAATTCAGTATGTGAAGTAATGTCTGATTATGTTACTGATTACTACAATTAAGCTCCCCTCTCTCAAACTTTTTCTAGTATTTGCATTAGTATTTACCTCAGCACCCTGCAAATGAAATGCTGTACTGTGTGATGCTGCATCACTAGCAACAAAGAATCTTTTTCCTCCATGCAGGCGAGACTGGGAATAAGATACATGCAGCTTGAAACACTTACCGATCAATCCACATCTGAAAACTGCATGTGAACTTTACAAGTAGGGCAACAGTTACAAGTACTTGCTACACATTCTACTCCTAAATACATAATCTTTATAGAACAGAAATTTGAACACGTATGTTTAGAAAACCTATGGCTGAGAAAGTACTACTATGCAAGTTTTTTTCTAAGGTTGTAATACTCCAGAGAAATGTTTTAATATGCTCCTGCAAATTATTGTTTGAAAAAGAAAAGTATCAAGATTTTACAAGCTCTGCCCCAGATCCGGTGACCATTTATAGTCAGGCTAAATGATCTTACTAGATGTCTGTGGAGAATTGAGACTGTTTTCTCTGTAGAGTGTTTTGTAGATAATAAGGCAAACTTCCACCTTTTTATTACTCATTGGAATAATTTAATGGATGTAGATGAAATTTTCTAGACTTAACAGAGATGATGTGTATGCTATCTCACCCTTTCCCCATGTGCTTTAGATGTGAAGAGGTTTTCTTTCAGGTTACAAGCAAGCAGAACAAGACTGTCTTGGAGACATCTGCAGAAAGATGCAACATAAGCAGGACATGCATCCTGTTTTACTTCTGGTTCTAACAGCAAATACACAGAAGGATTTTTGCTAAGCACTTTCAACTTTTTTTAGGCTATGCAGGAATTTCTTTCATAATTTTCAAGAAAATCCAAAGTTAGTCCTGGCGAGAGATGTTAAGTCTCCTCATGAACATCTGTTTTCTGCCAGCAGGGATTACTGAGAGCATTCTTGTGTGTTTCATCCCCATAGCAGACTGTGTTTGTGCAAGGGTGGGCTTTTCTAGGGCATGGTTGTAGGGGTTTAGGTTAGTGGTCTGCCTAGCTCAGTATTTTGTCTGAAGTAACGCAAGTAGAGTTTGTCCAGGGAATGAGGCATTTAAGCAACAAAGCATGCATACAGTGATCTCTTCCTGATTATAATCTCCCAATGAACACAATGAACAACAGTGTAAAAATTTCCTGAGCCAGAAGCTGTATCAAAATGACTTTTAAATAGCTATGATCCTCCATTAATTTATTTAATCTTTTTCTCTGAATGCCGTTAGGCTTTTGATTTCCACAGCATTCTGCGATAAAGAGTTCGTGCTTCCATCCTGAGCCTTGCTCTCCTAATAGATCTTGTCTACTGTTGCTGTTCCATCCGCTGGACAGAGATTTCCGTGTTGGGATGTGGAGAGGACAGAGTAGCATGTAGTTCTTTGATTCTCTTGAAAACACTGAGAACTCTGTTTCCTGGTTGTTCTTGACAGGCTTGCTAGAAGCTTGACAACCTTGGTTTTTTAGGTGCTTCAGCTTAGTATAGTACAGTCTCATTACCCAATCTGTAAATTGAGATGAGCTCGACCTGGCTTGAGACCCGTGTAGTCTACTGTAAGTCGCCTTTTGCAACCCATTAGGTAATCTTACCCTTAAGTCTCAACTTCTGGCAAAGGATCAGGACACTTGACTGGATTGAATTTAAAGCTAGTGGATATGAGCCAGACTTGCAGCTGATGTGTATGGCTGTTAAGTTACATTCATATGCACTGATCAGATTCTTTCATTCTAGTTTTCCACGCTTATTCCGTTCAAAACCATACTAACTATTTGCAAAACATAATGTTTTGTACCTCTCTTCAAATAACAAATTGCCACTTCCAAATGCAGCTTATGGATTTTTATAATACAGCTTTTTTTCCCCCCTCACTCCTGTTCCTTCAACTTTGGTGCCTTTGGCTGTGTAAGTAAGAAGGAAAGGAGCCTGTTACTGCAAAAAAGAATGTAACTGCATTAGTCTGAAAGTGATTTGGAAACTTACACAGCTTTATCTCAAGTTTCAAATAATCACTGCAGTCAGGAGGATTACACACACTCTTCTGTCAAATTTTATAACCATAGAGAAAGAGCAGTCTCAATACAGGTAAGATAACCTTTTTTGGCTCATGTGGTCCATCACAGGAGGCTGTACTGACATTCTCAAATCCATCTCTTGTACTTTATAGACAATTAAGGCTGCTGAAATAACAGATTTTCTGGACCAGTGGTTCTGTTTTTCCATCTAGGAAAAATTTCCATTTATCTTGCATTAAAATACAGGCGAGCCTGCAACAGTTCCTGTTGAAGAATACTGGCTTGTAGTATTGTTCAAGTTTACAGTCATGACTCCAATTAAAAAAGGAGAGTTTCATTCCCAGTTGGTATAGATGGGCTTCTGAGTGTGTTGGCTGGGTATAGTATGCATGGTCCTTTGGTCAGCTGGCAAAGCACACTTGAAGGAGAAAGTCACAGAGATGCAAGGGATGTTAGGGGACTTCAGGGTATTGCAGTGAGCATATTCCACTTGATGTTGAGTTATGCTTTACAGATATTCTTCTAGTACAAAACTAAAATTGCCACTTAAAGTGCATATAAAGAAGAAGGAATCTTGCTTTGAAGCTGTTGAAATCACCTCTGGGAAAGCTTTTTAAGTTGAGATTCCTGCCTCCTCCCACTTCTCAGCAGAAAAACACTTTTGTCCTGTTTTGCAAAAGAAGAATCATTAGGATACTCAGCTGTTTACACAGATCTTAAAAGAAAGCATACTATGTGCCAAAATAAATCTGTATACTGCAGTGTGGAGAAACCACAAAGAAAACCAGAGTTTGATGTTTGGGCAGCATTCCATTACATGCCCCAAAACTAGAGTGAATATACTTTCCTTTTTAGCCAGCACTTAGGTTTTAAAAACCAGAGAGGAAAGTTAGACAGATGGACATTTAGAGATGTGCTGTGACACCTACTATATGTTTTTTAAACATTCTACATGACTGGTACTGTATTATGCCAAATATGCGGTGGTGTGGTTGGGAGACAGAGTGCTTATTCTGCCTATTCTGCTTGTTTCACTGATTCTTAGTGCGGGTTGTGTATGCAACCCTTGTAGTATTTGGAGGGAGAAGATGCACTCCATTCAGTGGAACAGAGAATACAGGGATATAACAAAACTGTAGGTGCTTGTTCCCTTCTCCATCATGGGGGAAAGACACTGTCTTTTGAGTCCCTTGGAGGAGAAAGGGACTTGTAACTTCCTTTAGGAAATACAGAAACATTCAGTATCAGAAAAGTTATAAGATGTTGGCTTCAGGGTTTTAAAAAATTCTTACTCTTTTAGACCAGTATTATTATTCCCACCCTCCCATCCCCCCGAAATCATGGGTTATGTTATATTTAAACAGCTTTCTGTATTTCTGTGGACAACATTGCTAAAACAGATAGTACATATGTATTTAGGGTTTTCTTTTAATCACTTTCACTGGAGGAGAGCTGTGAGAACAGTTGTTTTGTGCACGTGATGGTAATATAACAGTAAAATAATGTGTTGCTTGACTGTGGAATTTGCTTTGAGTCTGACAAACTCAAAAAGAACCTTACTTGCTTGATGCTGAGAAAGTGACATTTATTGCACCTACTGTTCCTATGTGGAACATCCCTGAATGAGATGTGCAAGTTTTAAATTCTTCCAGTTACAATGGTTGAGTTGTAAAATAAACAACTAAATATTTATTTTAAGACTCTCAGTAAGCCCCTACAGTCAATAAAATTGATTATCTGACAGAGAGGATGAGTCAATATGTGTGTTTAAAAAAATAATAAATCCATAAATTTATAATTCCTGCTCTGATACCTTTTTTTTTTTCCCTTTAGTTCCTTGGGATAGCATTTCTTGGGATTGGATTGTGGGCATGGAATGAAAAGGTAAGTTGAATATAGCACCAAACTCCATGCTTTTCTTCTTTCTCTCTCTTCTTCTGGTGAAATATTGGAATAGTAATATGCAGCACATTTTATGCGTCCACACACAGTTTCTACTGAAACAAAATGAAGCTTCCCTGTCAAATAAAGCCTTGGCTCGGCTCACCTAGAAGAAGATCCTTGGCAGCTTTCCCAAGAATGCCTTGGCAAGAATTCATGGCTGACACTTGCACATAAAATAACCTTTTCAATCCATGCACGCTCAAACTGCAGCTCAGATACTAGAACAGTCTCCTGAAGGCAGTATTGGCAGTGTGTCTCTGCTGCATGTGTCCCAAAGAATGGAGGGGGAGCCTACATGTCTCAGAGGGCAGCTTCCTGAGAATAAGCCTCCTTGGCTTTGCCTTAACATAGCATGCTAATTGCTGTTCCTCCTAAACAAACAAAATCCTGAACCCAAAACCAAAACAAGATGAACCCTGAAAACTAAGCCAAACCTGAGACAGACTAAGTGTTGTTTTTTCTTGTGCAAAAAAACCTGTCCACTAGAACACTCTCTGTTGCAAGACTGTAAAGTCAACTTAGAAATAGGAAGAAAGGGGGGTGGGGAAGGAGAAGAACATTTGTGAACCAGAGCCTAATTTTTAGTTTGCTTGCTGCAGAAGTTGGGAAGAAGATAAACTATCAAGACATAATATACAAAACAAGTCAATATGTGTTGGGTTACTGGATGAAGAGTTTGGCTTTCTAAAAGACAACAGCTAAAATTAAAGCCAGAGTTTCCTTTTCTTCCTTGTTTAAAAGATTGAAAATAATAAATCCTGGCTGATAACAATGGTCCTATAATATTCAGTTACATAATGTTGTTTTTTTTCTTCTTTTAATGGAGAATGCAGAGTAAGTTACAAATTGATGTTCACTTAAGGCATTATAACTGACGCTTGCAGCTAAACAAGTAACACATTGGAAGCACTGGAGTTTTGCCACTTAAGAGTTCAGGACAAATTTTGCTGGTTCAGAATTGAGTTGTTAGCTTAGATTCTAATTGCTCTGTGCATGTACCTTGGATGTAGATTACAAATCGTAATGGGATATTAACTCACACTCTATACACCTCTCTATGTATATTTACATACCATATGATACTCATGTTGGATGGCTTGAATAGACTTGGAAAGAGGTGCTGTGGTTGTTTTTTTTTTGTTTGTTTTTTTATTTCGCCGGATGGGTTTGATAGGCTTGGAAAGAGGTGCTGTGATTTTTTTTTTTTTTCATTCAACAAAGATGGAAAACCATGTTGTATTTAATACTCTGAGCATGCTCACAGAGCTTATACCTATGTCTAAGCCCCAGAGAAGAACTTTATTTTAGAGTGGCTTTCTAGAAGAGATTTTAACATTTCTGTATCATTTTGGTAAGTAACACAAATTATTCCTCTTCAGAATGAATGAGCAGGTAAAGGGAAAACAGCTATAGTCTAGTGTTTGAAGTCTAAAATATACCAGTCCTACAGCTAGAGGGTATTCTAGCAGCATGATGGTTTGTTAGGTTTTTACATATTTTCTCTATGGGAAAGCACCCCCTGCTTCCTAGGAAAAATGCATTCAATTCATAATTGCTAATAGCCAGAAGCCAAAGCTCATGTTTTCACTTGGGATTTGGACATCTGTTATCGAGTCATTTTTAATCAGATCCTGACAGTGGGAGAAAATGCCATGTTGTTTTTAAGACAAGCAAATAAAACCACCTAGAGCAGCTTAATATGCATTAGCTCAGGCTCCATATTTAATAGATTTTTCTATAGAAATTATTAAATAGAAGTGTTTATTCTTTTAAAGCACAGGTCTGTCATTGAAAATGAGCATCTCTCCCCAGCTTCTCTGTTGTGTCCTGCAGTGCTTAGTGTGGACTGCTTCAGTTCATGGTTTTATCAGCCAAAATATAGTATAGGTACAGCTGAACTGCAGAGCTCTTGAGCACAGACAGGCTTGATTTTTTGTAGCAGGAATTATGGAAAAATGGACTTTTGTCAAGCCAATTTGAGACCTCAGCTCTCTAGAGGACAGGCAATGGCCAGAAGCTGCAGTCAGCAAGATCAAGTTCCAGATACTCATAGGCCCCATGCAACTTAGTGGGGGGCAGATCAGTTACATCCCACATGGAGTTGTTCTTGCTGCAGCTGGGGATTTGGAGGCACAGGCCAAGTAAGTGAAGCCTAAGACTTGAGAGATCTGTAACTTAACTGAAAAGCACTTCTCTAGCTAGACTGCTTCTTGCATAACGCTAGCCTGGATATCCCTTAGGCATTATGGACTGTTGTAATGGTATACTGTTAGACAGCAAAGCATCTTTGCAGAAAAGGACCTGGGGGTCCTGGTGTACACGAAGTCAAACATGAGCCAGCCCTTGTTACAAAGAAGGCTAACGGTGTCCTGAGCTGTATTAGGAGTGTTGTCAGCAGGTTGAGGAAGGGGATTCTTCCCCTCAGCACTGGTGAGGCCACACCTGGGCCAATTCTGGGCTCCCCAGTACAACAGAGTTGCCGATATACTGGAGAGTCCAGAGAAGGTCTGCCTAGATGATTAAGGAATTGGAGCGTCTCTCCTACAAGGAAGGGCTGAGAGACCTAGGACTGTTCAGCCTGGAGAAGAGCAGGCTCAGGGGAATCTTAATGTGTGTGAATACCTGAAGGGAGAGTGTGAAGAGGATGGATCCAGGCTGTTTTCAGTGGTGCCCAGTGACCGAGGCAATGGGCACAAACTGAAATGCAGGAAGTTGCCTCTGAACATCAGGGAACACTTTTTTTACTGTGAGGGTGACTGGGAACTGTCACAGTTTGCCCAGAGATGATGTGGAGTCTCCATCTTTGGAGATATCCAAAAGCAGCCTGGACATGGTCCTAGGCAGCCAGGTCTAGGTGACCAGATGACCTCCAGAGGTCCCTTCCAACCTCAGCCATTCTGTGAAGACTGCTGCTGTCTCAATGAAAAATACCAAAGTTAAAGTTGGTGCTGCTATTGTACAATGTGTAAACATAAATATTTAAGGTAGTTTGCAGGATTCTTCAGAAGGACTCTTCTACTGTAAACTGATTTGGTGGTGGGGAGGGTTTTGGTTTACTTCTGTCTTGGATCGTGTGTCTTATATCCAGCTGTGTTGTTTTATAACCTGGCCATCAAGATGTATATACTTTTGCTGTTTCACAGAATCTTTTTAAGATAGAAAGATAGTGTGCCAGGCCACATTAAAAATGCAGGATGTAAAGAAATAATCCACATTTTACAGGAGTCCCGTTTGCTGCTGGCTAAAAACACTTTGGGGTAGATTTGTGGGTTTGGTGTCTAGTTTCTGGTTTTTTGCTAAGTTGGCTTGAATTCTCCCCTTTAAACTTTGTTGTAAAGAAGGAAAAAAAGCACACTATACAGTCTTGTGACCTTCCTTACAGCCTTTGCAGGGAGGCGAAAGAGCTCATTTGTCAAATAGGCAATAGAATTGGCTTGACAGCCAGTCAGCCAGCCCTAAACAAAAACTGGGCAATTAGCATTCTGAGTCATGAACCTGAAAGAGAGCTAGGGGGCTGCGTGGGGGCAATAAACTCAGAGGATGAATACAGCTATCTATACATGGATGCACTGTATAGCTCACAATCTTGCAGTGTTTTGAGGCATGTTAGACTTGGGCTTGTACCATAAAAAAGTTCATCCATGGCAGCTAATTTCCACACACCCCCCTTCCCCTCCCCAAACAGTGACATGAACATTGTTAGCATATAAAGAGTCTGTACCAAAGAGTGTGTACTAAGCCCAAGCAACTTATACTACCTTTGTTCAGCAGCAGGGGAAAAATGTTTATATTTCACTGGCTTTTTTTATCCACTTCAAGTCATTTCTTCTGTTGACTTTTTAAAAATAAACTAGATTCGTACAAAATGTCTGTTTCCCTCCTTGGTTGTATATATTGGATAATGTGGTCTTAAGGCTCATTGGGAGTGTTTGTGGTGTGATTCCAGTAGCTACTTGGGGAAAATATGCTTCCTGGTTCTCTCACTGCATGCAGGAAATTTATATTCAGGAGTAGTGAGACTAAGTGATGAACTGGTGTTATGTCTCCTGAAACCTTAGAAGACTGTCCATGGAGAGGGAGTTTTTATAAGGAAAGCATTGTGGTTTGGAGTATAATTTAAGTAGGAAGTAGCAAAGGTAGAGATACTGAAGCGGGGGAAAAAAAACCTGCAGATCCTTGCAAAATTTGTCAGTTAGACTTAGTTCCATGTATAAGGTTGACTGAAACAAAGAGGGAGAAGTGGAAGAGGTTGATGATGTGAAGTTTGGTTTCTAGGCTTTTCTTGTTAGATCAGAGGATCTAGAAGACACTCCAGCTCAGCAGTCAAGTTGTGTGCAGTTTGGAGTACCAATATGGTACCTCTGCGTGCTGGCATAGTATTTTTAGTGAGCAGGAGCTCTAATCTGGATCTCAAGCTTTAAGCTAGACTTTTACATGTCAATATACGGTGATTTAGGCCTGCTTTGGTGTTCTGGGGCAGGCTAAACTCCCTACATAGAAACAGTCACAATTTGTCAGACCAAGTGTGTCTCTCCTTACCCTGAAATTGAAACTACAGTTGTTTTCAGGCAAAAATTCTCACTTCTTTTACTGTCGCAGTGAGTGGCAGACATCAAGAGCGATACACCAGTCGCTTCGTAATTGTTGTGCATACAAGTCTATCGCATAGTTCTTTTAAAAACAATTGCTGACAAGGAAACCGTGCGCATATCCTGTGGGTCCTTATGGGCTTAGGGATACTCAAAGCATATATCTTGCTTCTAAGCCAGGACTGTGTGTGTATTTTACAGGACTGGAGAGGAGAGAGAGGGATACTAACATTAGCTATTAAGTTTCATTTAAATTTCAGTGCGTAAAGATTCATTACCTAAACAGACAGGGTCTTAAGTCACTTTAATTAGTGTTCCAACACCTTGTAACCACTAATACTGAAAAATGTA